ACCAGCCAGACTCACTCCCGCTCGAGCCTTTCTCAACACTGGGATCGACTATGCCGGCCCAGTGTCTCTACGGTCCTGGAAAGGGCGGGGACACAAGTCGTACAAAGGCTGGTTGGCTATCTTTGTCTGCATGACCACCTCAGCGGTCCATCTCGAGGTCGTGTCAGACTACTCAGCCGAGGGGTTCATCGCGGCGTATAGACGCTTTTCAAGTCGGCGTGGGATCGCTCATTCCTTGTTCAGACTGTGGGACCAATTTCCTTGGCGCTGACAAGGAACTAAAGAAGCTCTTCTCGTCAGGATCAGCTCAATCAAGACAGCTCGCACAGCTCCTCATCAATGATGGGACTCAGTGGTCCTTCAATCCTCCAGGTGCTCCGCACTTTGGAGGGAAATGGGAAGCGGCGGTGAAGTCGGTGAAGTTCCATCTCACCCGGACGATCGGAGAGGATCTGCTCACTTTTGAGGAACTCACCACTTTGCTCGCTCAAATCGAGGCAGTGCTCAACTCACGACCACTGGAACCGCTCACGGATGATCCTGATGACTGTTCAGCCTTGACACCAGGACACTTTCTCATCGGTCAGGCTCCCACGACCCTCCCAGAGCCATCTTTAGAGCAACTCAACGTCTCAAGGCTCTCTAGATGGCAGCTCATTTAGCAGAAGCTTCAAGGATTCTGGAAGAGGTGGTCCACGGGATATCTCCAACGTCTTCAAGCGATATCCAAGTGGCACCATCCGACTCATCAGATACGGATCGGCTCACTGGTTCTACTCACGGACGAGAGATTCCCGCCAGCGAAGTGCCCTCGCCCGAGTGACCGCTCTGCACCCAGGATCGGACGGACTCACCAGGGTAGTCACCATCAGGACTGCTCAGACGACGCTGACGAGGCCAATCGCCAAGGTCGTCCTCTTGCCTTCAGGGGAATAGAACCGACAGCTCACCGGCTTCTACTGCTCATCTCTAGTGACTCGGACTAACTCATTGTGTCAGCTCAGTTATTATTAAATCAAGGAATTAGTCGGCTCATTATTTACGGTCTGCTCAGTGACTCTATTTATTGTGACAGTGTAAATAACTATAAATATTGAACAATTATACGGTGTTTTGTGAAATCAAGTGCACGTGTCCGCATATTTTTTGACCCGCTCATTTACTCCCGGAAAGCCATTTCCCACCTGCCCATCCGCTCTCAATTACCACCGATCCAGGCATCTCATCAAACACTTTGTAAATATCTCTAGGACTAGCCTGGCAAAGGCAGAGAAATATGTTAAGGCCCGGGTGTACTATCTTTCGAACATTACCTCGATGTTTTTGTTCATCTTTCGTCATCTGAAATTGTCAATTAAGTCCTGCATCATGCAGAAGTTTTGAAAAATTATGAATGAATAATTTTAAAAAAGTGGAAAAAATTCTCAATTTTTTCAAAGAGCATTTTTAATTTATATTCAGAATAAGTTGAATAACAAGAAATTGAAAAAAGTATCTGATTTACGGTGACAAATGACGGTCTGTCACCCAACACTACACTCACACTGCACAGAGACCTTTATTACGGAAAAGGCTCTTTGAAAAAAGTTGTAATATTTTGGAGAATTTTTTAATTACACTTTTATCACATAAAAATGGCAGATGACTACATACCACTGTTTGGAATTTAAGATACCTAGCTGTCACTTCCCATGAGGAGTTAGTGTTTTGTTATCCACCATGGAAAATGACAGCTAATAGATAATTTGCCACTGCGAATCAGATATTTGTAATTTCCACTTTTTTCAACTCATTCTGAATCTTAATTAAAGACGCTCTTTGAAAAAATTCAGAATTTTTTCTATTTTTTTAAAATCATTCTATTATAATTTTTGGGAATTTCTATATGATGTGCCACTCAATTCACAATTTTGGATTACGAAAGATAAAAAAAATCCAGATAACATTCGAAAGATAGTACACCTGGGCCTTAAAGACTTATTTACGGGAAGAATTTAATGGGCTATACAAAGGTTACGATGTTAAGGATATAATGAAATAATTCGAGAAAATGAAATTTTCATTGATTGTACCATTATCTCGAGGATGGGTGGTTTTAGGACGACACGTCAGAAAATCATTTGTTTAGGCTACTGCCAAGCTACGCAGAAAGCTCTGAAAGCGGACATTGATTTCAATAAAGACATTCTCACAATAATTTGCCAATCGATTCTCAACTCATCTCTTTTGATAATATCATTCTCACTGTCCTGAAAAAAGCAGATATTCTTATAAATACTTTATCATTCTCCAGAGTTATTTTATCGGCCGTTGAATCAACAGCAACCCAGGGTTTACGATTGACATTAGCCAGACAGTTAGCAGAGGTTATATTGCGTAATATGAGCGAGGCTGAGTATAAAAGTCCTGACGCACCACCTGATACGTTTGGTAAATATTTCGAGAAAAATGTTTCATTTTAATTTTCAAAACACTTATGAATGTTTTTATTCAAGGAACTGGACCTGTTAATAGAAGACTAACTAATTATGCGATTAACAATGGTGTCTCTGAGTCACCTTGGAAGCCAAAAAAATATAATGGACCCAATTTGTTCGTGCCTCGCAATGAGAATGAGGAGATTATTCTTTTGTTATTGATTAGTGAGGCGATGGCTGTCAGGGAGACTGTGCTGAGTCAATCCCCTGAGTTCAAAGAGGCGAGATTAAGGGCCCTTGAGAATGCTACCGCTGTTTATGATCTCATGACAGTTGTTGTTGTACGATGGAGTCAAGTAGAATTGTTATATGAGGTAAGAAAGAGAATTGATGAGATTCATTTAATAGTTTATTGATGAAATTGTTCCAGTTTAAGGATATCCAAGTATCTTCTACAGTTTGATACAGACCATACTATAGATTCAACAGTTTTCAATCATGAAATTTGTCAATCCATGAGAAAAATTTGGAAAAATCATGAATATTCCGCGTCATTCAAGTTGCATTTTGCATAGAATTATTATTTGTTAGAGCATGTTGAGAATCACCGATGATGAGTCTACCCCGTATCACCACAGTCACACTACATACACACACAGACACAACCACCCAACGGACAGTAGCCTAACACCTTGATGTATCCTCAGTCGAATCAAATATATCGTACTCGGCAGACGTGCCTTACACGTGCAAACTGTCTTCTATATGCTGTCCTGTGCTATCTTTCCACTAATCTCAACAGAGCATTCGTTGTTTATAAATAATTAATTGAAATTGTTTAACCTTTCCGGATTTTTTTAGGCATGAAACCAATTTCCCTGAAAAATATGAATATGAATAAATTTTTTACGATTCCGAACAAATGACATATGGTGGAAAATTGATAGTTTATATTTGTTTATTTATCCATATGTATACCCTCTCGGGAACATTTTGTTCCTTTTCCCTTAATTTTAAACCCAGGTAGAAACATTGACATTAGTAACATCGTTATAATCTTTTACAAACAGTTTTATAGTACCAAAACATAAATGCCATAAGGGCTGTTATAGTATTTAGTTACAGTACATATTTCCGTTTCGACTAGCGTTTTTAATTAATGCTCAATAAACAAGAAGGATTCTTACAATAAAAAAATTGAGTTCGAAATAATAAATACATTAGCTGCCCCAGTCTTTGGCCTTTTTCCGCATTAGAACTTGAAGTGCTGAAATTTAAAAAGAAATACTAGATCAGTCAAATTACGGTTTGGAAATCAAGGATGATAGAAGAAGGATAAAAACCATGGGATATCATGCGGAAGAATGATGTGAAACACATACTAAGTTTTTGGGATTGTAGCAAACCGGGAAATGGTTAAAAAAAATTAAAAACTGCAAAATTAAGCGTCCACGCGACATTTTTTGCTTTACGCTGACGAAACCGCGATAGATAGGATAAAAATGCATACGAAATAATTTGTAGAGCACAAAATTTCCTACAAAAAAGTCACTGGCGACATTTTCGTAATTTCAACCGTCAAGTCGCCAAGCACGCTAAAAATTGAACTACGAAAAAGCTGATTGGCCGCCAACGCCGAAAAGTCCATTTTAGTTGCAAAATGCAAATAATTTATGAAAAAGNTACGACAAAAAATCAAGTTTTGTTCTTATTCCAATAAGATAACTGGATCAAAAGTTATGTTATGGCAAATTTTGGTTAAAAAATGAAAAAAGAGAAAAATGGGGACTCCTGAAAAATCGAAAAATATTTTTTTTAAAAGTTCCTCTCCTGAAGACATTCTGTGAAGGGTCAAGATGGATCCTGATTTTTTTCTGATTTTTTAATCAACTTTTTCATAAATTATTTGCATTTTGCAAATAAAATGGACTTTNGGAAAAAAATCATGATGCATCTTGACCCTTCACAAAATGTCTCCAGGAGAGGAAATTTTTTTAAAAACATTTTTCGATTTTTCAGGAGTCCCCATTTTTCACTTTTTTCCATTTTTTCACCAAAATTTGCCATAACATAACTTTTGATCCAGTTATCTTATTGTAATAAGAACAAAAGGTGATTTTTCCTCGTTCTCTCCTCTCCATTTTCACTCTTTTGACCTTTTCACTCAACTTTCATGTTTAACTTATTATTTGTTGATAAACTAAAAAAATTGCTGTTTTTTCAATATATAATCTGACTAGAAAAATTTTTGATCAAGCTCAATAGTGCACAAACTCAATGGGAGTTTCTGTTTTGCACCTCTCTGCTTATAGTGCTAATTTGATGAGAAATTATATTGATCAAAATTTTTATCTTTCAATTTGGATTTAAACAAGAGTCAAAATTTGTAGGCGCCAGGCCTAAATTAAGTTTCCTTGAAATTATCATACGAAAAAAACTCTCTACGGATGCATCCTCAAAAATTATTTGAACCCACTCGGGATGTGATTGTTAACAAAATTTTTTTTGGTAATTTTTTCATATTTTTGGAGGAAATTAGCAAAGGAAACGTTTACAGAAGTTCCGTTACACGGAGAATGTGGAAAGTGGGGAGATCAAGCGCGTGGAGTGGGGCGCGCCCGACAACATTTCCCTAAATCTAAAATGATTCATAGCTCACTAAGTATTGAAAATATGAAAAAATACCAAAATATCAAAAAATTTTTAAAAGAATCAAAGAATTTTTAAACATTGAAAAAATGACAAAAATCGAAAAATTTTCCTTTTATTATTAAAAATCTACGTCAACAAATGCCAAGAAAAATATGAAAAAACTCAAGATTGATCCCACTGACTCAAGTTTGGGATAAAGCTACCGAGCTTGATTAAAAATTTTTCTAGTCAGATTATATATTGAAAAAACAGCAATTTTTTAGTTTATCAACAAATAATAAGTTAAATATGAAAGTTGAGTGAAAAGGTCAAAAGAGTGAAAATGGAGAGGAGAGTACGACAAAAAATCAAGTTTTGTTCTTATTCCAATAAGATAACTGGATCAAAAGTTATGTTATGGCAAATTTTGGTTAAAAAATGAAAAAAGAGAAAAATGGGGACTCCTGAAAAATCGAAAAATATTTTTTTTAAAAGTTCCTCTCCTGAAGACATTCTGTGAAGGGTCAAGATGGATCCTGATTTTTTTCTGATTTTTTAATCAACTTTTTCATAAATTATTTGCATTTTGCAAATAAAATGGACTTTTCGGGGTTGGCGGCGAATCAGCTTTTTCGTAGTTCAACTTTGAGCGCGCTGTCTTTGAGTGCTATCTATCACGGTTTGGTCGGCGTAAAGCAAAAAAGGTCGCATGGACGTTTGATTTTGTAGTTTTTAAGTTTTTTAAACAATTTCTCGGTTAGCTACAATCCCAAAAACTTAGTATGTGTTTCATGTCATTCTTCCGCATGATATCTCATGGTTTTTATCCTTCTATCATCCTTGATTTCGGCCGAAAAAAGTCCTTATTCGACTGGCCTATACCAGAAACAACCGGGGACACGCGGTGCTATCACCCACGCCATCGAATCGGTTAACAGAAAGTACTTCTCGGTCGCATCATCTTCACTACGACTCTCAGTTTCCTTCCCCTCTCATTATCATATCCCATACGACATTTGCTGTGCAGAACAAATAACGAACAAGAGAGTCATCAAAAAACCGGAGCAGGTGAGTTGCCCCCCCCC